GCAGATGTTTTTTCTTAAAACATCCTAAGATGCAGCTCAAGGGTTTTGAGGTAGGATGACTTCCTCTGTTAATTTCTTATGAATCGTAGGAATACAGTAAACCTTAATTGAATGAAGCAGAAGAGAGAATCTTTCATAAGTAGCTAACAAGAAAAAACACAAAAAATGAAACTTCCTGCTTTAAGGTAACTTCAAATTATATTTGCTTTTGTAGAAACTTTCAGAAAGTTTGAGAGTAAAACCACTCTAGGCATAACACCAACCTTGTTCAGATACTCACCGTAAATGTGGAAAACATCTTTTATTCAAATCGCGATGGATGCTACTGAAATAACTATAGAGATGAGAGATACTGAGAACTCATTCGGATTCTAACTGGTCATAGGTGCTCTTGTCCTTCTTTCCCCTTTGCAGGCCCATGTGGAACAGTCTCTCGCCTGGGCATTAGAAATGCCTCTTGCATCTAAAAACTTAAGTTACAACGCAGTACTTAGCCGAGTTTTGGAGATTTTGGGAACTAACTTCAGTAAATCCGTTTAGTTTTCTCTTGTTTTACTAGACTGCTAGGTGTACTCACTTATGTCAGTGACCAAAATGATTTCAGAAGAGTGGTAGTGCTTGAACCAAAAATACCTAGAAAATCAAAAGGCTTAATTTTTAGTGAGAGTTTTACTGAATTTTCTTTTTGCTTTTTAAAGGCAGGACAGGTGAAAGCATTTTCTAATTGTAGCCTCTGTGCATTTTTTTTACATAGGTTCTCCTTTTGACTGCTTCTTCAGCAACAGGAGCTGAAATAATGGAAAAGTGCCTCTTATTTGAAAAAACAAACCCACCCTGAAACAAAAAGTACAACCAAATTAAGGCCTGATGTGTAAATGTGCTGTGTTTTCCTTCTAGGTCATCTTTAAAACACTCAAAGATACATTTTTCTCAACTTTTAATTGTAAGGATGAAATCTACTGAACGAGTTGTTTTATCTCTTGTCAGCAATCAACACAGTTTCAGTTGGAGAAGATTTTCAAAATGAGATCCAAGTCACTTTCTGTAATACTTGAATTTGGTGGTTGCAGTGCCTCAATACCTTCCCTTTTCTTGTACCATGAGATGCCATCAGCGTAAACTATTTCAATTTTTCGCTGCCTTTGTTATTTAACAACACTGAGAAGTAGTCCATGATAATGGTTGTCAGGTTTAAAAAAAAAAGCAAATGAGAGGAACTCAGTTTTTGTGAAGGTTTTATGTGCTGTAATGGAAGCAAGATACTGCTCTTAAGAGTTCTTGATGTTTGGATGGTTATAGACAGCAGCAACAATGCAGCCAAGGAGAAGGCAGTCCTATTGTCACATATGAAGGTTACACAAAAGCAGAATATAGCCTTGTGTATGAAATCTAGTTTCAAAAGTAGCTACAGAGATTATGGACTTCCAGAAAATGATGATTTCTTTATTATTATTTTTGTTACAATACTAGCACTTGGACTTTCAACTGTTCCTTACTTCATTAAAGCAACAGAATTAATCTGTCTGCAGGTTCCTAATCATTGTGAATGCTTCTTTCAACATTTTAATATCTTCTTCTCAGATCAGTAAAATAAACATGTGTTCTCTTTCTAAGCTTGTGATAGACATACAGGCTTGGTACAGAGTAGAGTCTGTGGAAAAATACCATTCTTGCCTGCAATGTTCATCAGCATTCTCTTTCTTTCTGAAAGAGAAATGGAAGGCAGTTGTCTTTGATGTAGCAATCTTACAATTGCGAAGGTCATCTAAATGAGAATGAGCCTAATAGCTTAGTTCTGGTAACTGCTAAGTTTGTAAATCAGCATTTGGGCTGAAACCTCTTTGAGTCTTGGCCTCTTCTTCAACTATGTTTATTTTAGAGAACTCTCAACTGTTTACAAAAATGAAGCAAGCACTAAATGAATCCTATTTCTGTTAAAAACTTTGAAAAGCACTAATTCTCCCACTTCTTCTGAAGCGAAGATTCAACATTTTGCAGGGCTTGGGCTTTTCCATTTGTGGTGTTATGCAGTTGTATTTTAGGCAGTTTTTAATGGTGGTCCCAACAGAGAAGTATTTATTTAAGTTCTCTCAACTTCAGAGACTGGCAACCTGATTTCCTCCTGCCTACCCAGAAAGACCTCCAAAACAAAAATACCCAAAGCCCAAAACAGTCGATGCTGAGATGGTTTTAGTGTGCTGCAAGCAGCTGAAGCCTAGAGCCAGTTTGATCCATTGAACTGAAAACAGGGATCACTTGTCTTGTGTTGTCCATGATGCTTCTGTCACCAAATCTCCTTCCTACAGTCCTCTCCAAGACCAGGATTTTGACGGCAAAGTTTTCTGTGTGTGTTAAGTGCAAAACGTAGTCTAAGCAAAGACAGAAATGTACAAGTATTGTGTAAGAAGAGATAAGAGAGTGATTAAAAAAACCTGATAAAAGGGCAGTGGTGGTGACAGGAGAGAAAATATGGATTTGAGAGAGAAAGGCTGCGGGCTGGTCTAGCGAAGCAGGGCATATTGAGCATGTATTGAGAGGCCAGGCATAATTTTTACTTGCAACCTTAATTCTCTCATTTTTCTAGCTCATAGATGATGAGGGTAGAAGACTTGATGTTCTTCAGGGAGAAATTATTATTCTTGAGTGTAGTAAATAGAAAATTTGTTTATGAGAAGTATTCTACACCTGTAAGGTTTTTCTCAGCTGTTTGAAAACAGGCTTTAACTAATATGCAAGTGAGTCTCAGTGCTGAGATTGTAATACAGTCCTGTCCATATTGCACTTTATGGTGAAAAGAGCAGCTTCTAAAAATACTGATCATGGATGGAAATTCTCACTTGTGCTCTGTATGGTCAGTGTTGTGTGTCTTGTCTGTATTGTGCTCTTTATACAGAGTATTCAAAAGCTGAAGCTATCATTCTCGCTACTTTTGGACACTATTTTACAGCCTGCTGTGTTAAAAGATTTTTTCAACTTATTTTGCTTAAGACAGATGAGTAAGAGCGCGTAAGTGTCTCTCAAAGGCATTACAGGTCCAATATTAAACTTTGCAGTGTCACTTTCCCGGTGTGTTTTTTTTTAGCTGGAGTTTTGTGTGTCTACTGACCTACCAGAAAAACCTGACTGTTCAACTAAACCAATAGGAGTTAAATAGCTGGAGCTTTCTCTTGTTGAAAAAATGTCTGCCACTGTCTCCTGCCAACAGGTTTCTGACTGTACTTTAAATGGTATATCCTGATTTCTTTTAAATTCTTCAACAAATTGAGGACTTATGAATGTCCTTAAGCTTGTCTTGCCTGCTCTGCCTGTGTAAGCTTGTTTGCTCTTCACTGTAAAACAGTTCCCATCATGGCTATGAAACTCCCTAAAAAGCCAGGGGGTGCACGTGTGCACTTCAGGGTAGGGGTTTTAAGGCTTCAATGTTCAACAAACTGCGCATTTGTATTTCTTACTCTGATATTTTTAGTTTCAAAGATAAAGCATTTCATATGTGTACATGAAAGATTAAGGCGGCTGATTTACAATAAGAATACTGTTGTTTCCTATTTTAGGACCTATAGTCTAATTTTCCATTGAAGAAGTTAAATTGCCTAATGAACAGTTAACTATTGATTGCATTACAGTTTGTTGTTGTGTTATGGATGTTTTGGGTTTTTTTCAATGCAGTTAAGCATTTGGTCTCCTCTGGCTCTCCTCTAGTTGCCCAGAGAGGTTGTAGAATCACCATCCTTGGGGAGAGTTAAAACACACCCTAAGAAACAGGGTTTAACTTTGTAGTTGGCTCTGATTTTAGTGGGTGGAAGGTGGGGTGCTAGACATGTTAAGAGGTCTTCTAGACCTCTTTCCAAGGGCTCTTCTGATCTAAATTAGGATTCTAGTTCAGCTTTCTGAAGGATTAAAAAAATATGAAAGATGTGAAAAGGTGCAAGATCTAGTTAGGGAGAAGGACCCTGAAATTACCAATCCTGTAGAATAAGTTTCCAGAACAAGGTGCTTAAAACTCTGACCCCTAGTCTTGCCAAGCCTTGAGAAAAATCACTGAGCCTTAGGAACAGTAGTTCAAGAGTGTTTGGAGTGGGTTGGTTGTTTAGTGTTTCCTAGGTACAGCTACAAGTTATTTATGAATAACTCTTGTATTGTTGCGCAGCATAATGTGTTTGGCTTCCTGCAAATATCTCAACAGTTTTATTTTTAAAGAATGTTTCTGAAAACTGTTCAATTTTATGGCTAGTGTTGTACTGCATACAGTTTATCCAAAGGAAAGATGGGTATAAAGTCTGAACAGGATGTCAGTGTGTGATTTGTCTAATGTATCTGATGGTGAGAATACAGATTACCCCGTGTGTGTCACATAGACCTGGCTAACAAACGTGGGGAATGGTAATGTTGAGACATCTGTTTCAGTAAACTAGTGTGTTACTGGAACTCTTCCTTTTTTTTTTCCCCACTGTTATTTCTAGTGGATTCTTACAATACTTGCAACACTCTGATGTGAAACCAGTGTTTTTATCACTTTGGACATTATTTTTATGTTTACTAGACTTGCATTGGGGACGTGGTACTTTAGTTTCTGACATTAGAAAGTGTTTCATTAAAAAACTTTTTTATTTTGAAGTTTAGTTTTGGCTTATCAGACTTCTAAGTGACATAGATCAGCTTAGATGAATTATATAGTGGACCATTATGTACACAAATTCATAAATTTAATGTCTTTGTGATAAATGAGTGAGTCCCAAACAGAACTCTCTAATTTTCAGTTAAAAGGTAAGATTATTAAACAAACCATGTATTTTGTAGTAACTGATTAGTTTGATTTTCTTTTTATGCACTGTCAGCATTGGTGGCTGTTGTGAAGTAATCCAGTGAGAATTTTGGTTTTGCAGCTGAAATAATGTTTAGGATTGTTCTTCTTTCACCTAGTGAAGAGCTTAAATATAAAAAAACAAACCCGAAGTAAGCATTACTAAACAAATTCCTTTTTCCTATGTGTTCTGTTAAAGGCATATAACACCAGAGAAATTCTATGTGGAAGCTTGTGATGATGGAGCAGATGATGTGCTTGCTATTGATAGAGTCTCCACAGAAGTCACTCTTACAGGTATTCTCCTCACCAGTATTTCTCAGTATAGACCTCTTGTCTAATATTTTGCTCTAGGCACTCTCAGAAGATCTTCAGAACCTTAAATTGATACTGAGGGGATTGTGTTTGTCTTTAATTACTGTTTTAACATAGTGCTTTGTATTCTGTCCTGCAAAGAACTTTGTTTGAAATGCCTTCTTGTGGTGAGATTGATGCTGTGGGTAGCCAGGGTGATAGTGCTTGCCTGTTTTTGGTAAGGCTGTGCCTCACAATAGTAAAAACTGACTCATCCAAGCTAATAGCAATTGGTGCTACAAGTCTGAGATTAAACACTGGGCTTCAGCTTTTGCCGAATTTTGTAACCTCTTCCTTTTTTTAGGTGTCTTGTATAGCTCATATAAGAGCAGTGTGCTTATCCCACTGATAATTTTGGTGATGTAGTATAATATTTCATTTTCAAAGTTGTCTCTTCACAACTGTAAAGACAGCTGTCCCAAGTCTTTTATTAGTCTTAATTTGTTCTCATTACTAGTGTTTTATCAGATCAACCTACAAGGTGTTTAAAGCAAAGGAAAAATCAAGCACAATCTTTTTCTGTTCTCCAAGCTCTGGGAAAATGCTTAACTCTTGTGTAGGTGTTTTAAACTTCTCTAATATCTCTTCTGCTATTCTGAAAGTGTGGATAGATGAAAGTTTCATGCTAGGACTTCTAATTGATATTTAGATACCTTTTGGATCTCTTGGTGTGTTGTTCGGAGTACTGTGTCCCTTGCCATGTCTGTGCTGCTGTTGGTAGCTTTGCAGGGATACACCAAAAAGTAAACTAGGTCTTCTGAAGTGGAAGTAGGCTGAGGCTTAGAAGAAGCACTCTAAAGTGGGTTTGCAAGCATTTATGGTTTGTTTGTCCTTGATGTCTTGATGACTTCAAAACAAAGAGGTTTTTGGAAGCTGGCAGGACAATACGTTATTGAGGAGTCTACTTGCTATACTATCATGTAAATGAGCTTGAATTTATTCAATTGAATGACTACTTTGATTAAACAACATGAGAAATTGGATTAGAATACTTCCACACCCTTCCCCCCCAGCCCCGCATCAGGCTTTGAAATTCTCATGCATTGCTGCTTATACTTAAGACTCTAGCAAACCCCAAGATTGGACTAAGAAGCTTTGACAAACCTGGTTTAATAATTTTCTGATATAGTAATGAAAGAAGCAGTCTGAAATTCTGATGTGTTTTTCTTCTGCTTTTCAGTTAAGAAAGATGTTCCTCCTTCAGCTGTTACAAGGCCCATATATGGTATTTTGGGAACAATACGATTGGTGGCAGGTAAGGAAAACAGAACTGTGCTCTTTAAAGATACTTAGACAAAATATCTTGCTAAAGAAGCTTTTAACACATCCTGCTAAAGGATGGAGTTATCCAAATATAGTTTATTGTGAATGTTCACGTACCTCTTAAACCTGTGGCTGCTCTAAAGGTAGTGTGAGCTGACAGCTTGTTGAGTTTTAAGGAATGCATTTCAAATGTGTGCAAATAACTTCATCTACTTACTCTTGATAACTATTTTAATCTTAACTGCAGGATTTGATGCAACAACTAAATATAGTATTGTAAATTTTTACTTTAAATCAATAATCTTGGTACATAAATAGCTGAGTGAAAAGGTGATAGACTAGTAGATGCAGCTGTTCATGTAATGATTGTGTTCCAACTAGCCTACAAATAGAAAGAAAATGCAACAATAAAGAAAAAGGACAGGCTGGAGCAATTTTAAATTTTAGGGAGTTGTAGGGTAAGATAGGAAGAAGCTGTCTGCTTTTTTCTCTGAGTATCTCAGTGGTGTTCAGATCTAAACAGCCACTGCCACAAGTAAACCTGATGCATATAGTCTAAGCTTCCAGGAAAGTAAGTGTGGCTAATCAAAAGATCGTTTGTGGGTAGACTTTATTAGCGTTTGAGACTAATGTAGTATGAAAAATGATGTGAGAAGGAGCATCCATACTGAATAAAAGGCTCCATACGTAGAAAGGATTTAAGTTCACTCATTGCAGTATTCTCAACTGAAGCAAAGTATCATTGTGTTAATGCAGTAACTTCTGACAGGATCTTAAACTACTGAACTTTGTATGCTCATATTGTAAAGAATTGTGGATCTTGCAGAGTAAGAACAATTTAATTGACACCTGTGTCTTAGGTGCTTGACAAGCCTTGACTGTTTTAAAACTGAACTGCCCCAAAGGAGAATTTTCACAGCACATGGGCTTAGTAATGGCTTTCATTCATCTGACTGAATATTATATAAAATATATTTTTAATAGCCTGATTTTTTTCTTTCCGTACCCCCAAAGCTTTGCACTAACTGTTAGTATACAGCTGTGAAATTAAACATGGTATCAGTTAAAGTAAGTGTTTAGCTAAGTGTTGTTAGGCAGTTCACTGTTATCTGTGAAAACTGTAAAAAAAAAACACATCCAAAACCACAAAACCCCACAAAACCAAACAACAAACTGTAAAACTGATTTCATATCTAGTGATGTAGCATCTTTAACGAGCATAAATGCTTTTTGCCTATTACAGCATTAGGGGGGAAAAGAATTGCTGAAGTAATATCTGAATCTCTGAAATCTAAACAGAAGGTTGCATACCCAAATAGGAAAAGACAATATTGAAAATTCATTCATTGTATTCATAGATTAAATATATCTGTTTGTGCAGTGTCTTTGTGGCATAGTTGCAGATGTAACATGCTGTTTTTATAAGGTATCTGGATGCTTCTGACATACATCCAAAACCAATACTTGTAAATTGAGATACAAACATGCTAGGGTGTTCTTAAATGCTTAAATATTCCACCCAAGTAAAAGGTAGGACACTGGAGCTGCAGAGATTAAAAAAAAAAAAAGCGGGGTTGGTACCTGTTCTTTGACTAACCGTATAGACTAGATACCTGATACAATAATTCACCTGTCCATAAAACTTGGTTTATATCCAGGTATAGTAGTAAGTAAAAATAGTGAGTAAACTTTCTGCATACAACATGAGCTGTTTCTGTTTTGGGATTTGTACTACTTCAGTAAAAAAAGGACTAGATTTGTTCCGTACTTCTGTGTGGCCTGTGCATTGTTTTGCTCTATTGAAGTTGTAAGGAAGCATTTAATGGTTATCATATATATTTTATACATAGTGTATGATAGTTATAAGATGCAACCAGGAAAACAGCAAACTTCCCATCTTAATTAAAAGAAACCCCTTCTCTTTGCTCTGTTTTAAGCCTATTAGGATTAACATTGCTTTCAGGATAAGATGAATAGGCTTTTTGGATTCTGAAGCATGCTTTCTTTCGTGTATTTCTGACTTGCTCTGTGCTTTCCAAACCACATTCAAGACCATTGTCCTCTTTCTGCATTTGCAAGCCTAAAGACTTTCAGGCTGTCTCTGATCTGAAGTAAGAGTAGCTGACACTTTTTTATCTTGTCCAGTTTTTTAATTTCTCAAACTTAATGGGTAGCTCAAGATCTGTGAGCATAGAGAATTAGGTAGCTTAGCAAGTGCATTTTGTTTCTGTTCTAGCCCTTTCTGTTAAGAACATCAAGTCCTAGGGGTAACTTGAAGAAACCTCACTCTTCCCTATTGGTTTCAGTTTTCTGGTATGGTCATACATTGCTTTTCTTACTATGTATGTCTCTTTTTTTTAAAGACTGTGCTTTTTCTGATTTATAGGCACGTATCTTATTGTAATAACAAAAAAGAAAAAAGTAGGTGAGATCTTCAGTCATGCAATCTGGAAAGCAACAGACTTTGACATCCTCTCTTACAAAAAGACCATGCTGCACTTAACTGATATTCAGGTAGGTGGATAGATTAGGGGAGTGTGGGGGGATGTTATGTTAGTGTCCATTACCACAGGACCTAATTTAATGAAACTGTGAACACTTCTTAAGAAGCTCTTTGAACTATACTCTTTTCTCTGAATTGTTCAGGCTACTATAATTGATGTAATATTTGGGTGCAGATGTTTATGAAGTTATGTCACTCAAGATAAAAACTGACCTTGTGCAACAGAGCATCATCCCCAGAGTTTAATCTGCATATTGTGTGGTTTTTCCCATCTTAAGGTGGTACAGCATGGGAGGATGAGGTGGACTAGCTTGCTGCATCTCTGTTCTTGTTTCTAAATCCTGTATCATCTTTTCCTCTGAGGACCCCAATGAAGACTTTTCTTCCCTGGCATACTGTAGAGAGGTTTTAGTGCTGCTTTGTAATATGCTGCATTTGTGCAACCTATTATAAAGCAGGATGCCTGAGTCAGTCCACAAAATAACAATGTTCTTCCTGTTAATGTCTTTCTCACAGCTTTACTGTTCTGATAAACCCTACAATAAGCTGCCTTGCTGTCATCTAATTATCTGTCTTGCTTAACTTGTGGAATTGTTCAATTACGTAATTACACAGCCGGGAAGAATTGGGTTTTTTTTATTTTTGAGAGAGAGAAAGGGAAGGGATGAAGATTGTTGAAGAGAGGTATGTTGTGGATTGGTAAAGAGTAGATAAGGGTGTCTAATCAATGGAGCTGAAACGGAATCAATGCTCTTTCAGGAAAGGAATGAGGTTACTCAGAACACGGATTAGTTATTGGGGTAATCTTGACAGTAAGTTATATACTTGCTTTTGCATTGCCATCTTGTCTCGGTTTTTTGACTGGTTTTCAGGGAAACTAATGGCTTCCTTTTTGCTTGTAAGTTGCTAATATTAATTTAATATCAGGAATACTGTTCTCTGTTCTCCATTTTTTTTTTTTGCAGAATTTGTTTGCAGTTTGCTAGCTGTAAGTTACCTATGAAATAGTACAAAAATTGCCAGTCTCATGGTTTCCTTCTTGTATGGTAATCTCTGGATTATGTTGTGTTGCTAGAGCAGTAGCAAAGTTCATCTCATCACTTCAAAAAGTAGCAGTAGCTTAAGGATAAGATATTTCGATGGTAATAAATGAGAGCTATTCTGTCCTTTTTTCTCCTCTCAACAGTTGCAGGACAATAAAGTATTTTTATCAATGCTTAGTCATGTCTTGAGCGTGGATGGATTTTACTTCTCAACAACGTATGACCTAACACACACTCTGCAACGGTTAGCCAACACGAGCCCAGAGTTCCAGGAAATGAGCCTCCTAGAGAGGGTAAGGATTTCATTTTGCTTAGTGTCTGTGTCTTGGACATTGCCAGTCAGTTCTGCATGTCTTAAGTTTAGTTTATGCAGCTGGTGTTTAAATGATGTCAAAACAAACTATCACAAAGTAAAGGAAACTTTACATAAAGCTTAGAATGATGTTGCTGAAATCGGTGATCCTGTTACACTTGAGATTAAACTTTTTTTTACAATCAATTAATATGCTAAATGGTAGCAGATAATGTAAAAGCATTTATAGTCCTCTGCTAAACTAAAAATGGCTTTACTATTTTAATCGTTAATTTAAACTAGTGAAACAGATTTACATATTGCTTAGATGCAAATCCTTAGAATAGAAGTAGCAAAAAATAGCACTGTGTTGGAAAACTCTGTAGCTAGACTATCATCTTGTCAATTGAGTTGTACTGGGGCAGTTTTCTGGAATAAGAAGCTGACAGCAAGAGGAAAAAGAAGAAACCAAGCAAGTGTGCAAAGTACATTGAGTCAAGTTACAGTTTTCAGTTTGCTTTGTGAGTTGCTTAGAATAAGGGTGGAAATTGCTGGTCTGTGATGCTTCAGTACACAAATTTGTTCAGCATTGTGGTATTTTATTGAAACTGTTAGGGGTTGTGGCTGAGTATACTGGTCCACTCGTCCTTAAGTCTCACAGCTCGTTAGCAACATGAAGTTCTAGAAATCTTTTCAGATGTGGTGTCAGACTTCTAGATCAGGCAGTTAGAAGTACTTTCTGAAGTCTGCTTTAAATGGATTTTAAAAATTCAAAATAAATGAAAATTTGCTGCTGACTTCAATATCGAATGCTTCCAGTTGCAACAAGAAGGAACTAGGCAGAAAAATTAGAAATAGGAAATATGCAGAGATGAAGAGGAGGACTTATGCAGTGAAATAGAAATACTTTTGTCTTTTAAGCTACAAGTATTTTTGAACGTTTGATTCTCAGAATTGTTTATTAGTGCGTACAGAACTCCTTGCATTTATACCTTCTGCCCATTTTAGGAGTGTTACCTTGCTATTGTACTTAAAATTTTGGATAATCTCTTCAAGCCTTGTTTACTTAGGGCAAAGACTGGAATGTTCTTCTCATACTGCAGCTCAGTTGTTAATGGTTCAGCATGCCTGAAGTGTCAGGCAACACCCTTAAAGACTGGAGAGTACCGTTCTTCTTTTAACTATTTTTATTTTATTTAGATTTCTAGTTGAGGTTATGAATGATACTGATGAAAGGAAGACATTCCATTTCTGTGTACATCTGTTCACCTAAACTTGTGTAATGCACAGATACTATGATATTCCCTTTGTGTTGAATTAAGCCAAACTGACAGTATCTAAAAGCGTGTTGGCTTTTTTGCCTTGCTGCAGGCGGATCCACGGTTTGTATGGAATGGACATCTTCTTAGAGAATTTGCTGCTCAACCAGAGGTAAACACTTTGTAATGACCATATTAATAGAGGGTGAACATACTTTACAGTAAGTATACAACAGTTTCCTGTAATTCTGTCTCTTACTTCAGGCAGCCAGAATCTAGTATGATGTGGTTATTCATCTTCTAGTTTAGCACAGTGACAAACTTCTGCTTTCAGACTTCCAACTCGATGTCCATGTCCTCAGTAGTATGTATAGTAGAGCTGACTCTTTGGAAATGTCTGCGTTTGAGGATACTGTGCTGAGACCGTGCTCAGATAAACCAAAGGGGAAGTTACACTGCACAGCATATGCTTCTCAAGCTTTTTTGAAGTTTAGCTACGTACTTATCTTTAGGTATAGGTAAGGTTCAGCTCTTCACTTTTTTTCTGAGACTGACTAGCATCTTTCTCCATGAGTTCAGTTTAAACTAAGTCTAGTGAATAGGACATAAAGCTGATACTTAAGAGTAAGACTGACAGTTTAGATTCTTTCAGCTTATTTCAGATAAGACTAGCACAGTGTAACCTCTGAATTCATTTTGTCCAGCAAATAAAGTGCATGGCCATGAGCCACAACTGTAGTACCTCAATGGCCAGACTTATCTAAGCTGCTTCCTACCAGAGACTACAGATGTGCATTAAACTTCTTGAATTGTCAGTGCTACAGCAACCTTTCTCTCTGTCAATACTTCTCATTTATCGAGGTGAATGACGCACTGCTTCTATTTTTGTCTCGGTAACCTGTGGAGATGTGCTCTGACGTTAGACAGTACTGTTCCAAAAGGCTGGATTGTGCAGTACTTCTGGAATGTGAAGATATGAATTAGCAAAGGGCTGTTGTGCATATTCTGGAGGCATATGACTAGGTATATAGTTTGGATAGTGCTAAGCAAACAAAACTTGGGAAAAGCGAGAGAAGCTGTGGTGAGAACAGCAAAGCAAGCCAAGTGTGGCTGGTTGGTGAGAACGGATGTAGGAGGCAAAACACAGAAGTTGGAAAGGGAGATAACTAATATGTGAGGGGAACTGTGACCTAATATTGACTACAGGTGGCTTCCTATAGTGACAGCTTTAGGTAATGAGATGTGGTATTTCTGACTTCCAGTATTGGAAAATTTTAATTTTTTCTTGAAAGACCAAGTTATTCAGGAGCAGCAGAATGGGAAAAACCCTGGAACAATTTCAAGTATTAATTGCATAGAAGTATTCCTTACTGAAGCCTTGTGTTTTTTTCTACTGTCTCTGCTTACATCCTGCTGAGGAGATACAGCAAATACCATCTCAATAAGTTTTCAGTGTGTACTGCTTTATATCTGGCGTGTTTGTAGAAAAGTAAATGCCATGTATAGGAGGACAAAGCAGCTTGTTTTTTTTTGTCAAGGTCACTTAATTAGGATTAGACTTTCACTTTTTCCCTGCTGCTAATATGGGTTACGTATGTTGCTGTTTTCTTTGAATTCTTTTCTCAGAAAGCATTACTGGATCCTAAACAAACAGTAAAGGATACAAAGTATATACAACTATAAAAAAAAAAATCCACACAATCAAAAAAAAAAAAAACACTTAGAAAAACCTCTTGGAGAAAGCATATTAACTTACTTTTATCTTTTTTGGCTGCTAGTGTTTAATATTTTTAACATGTATTGTTTGTTTCAGATCCATAGGTTTGCTACGCCTGTGATGCACGGATGTATCCTTTTATGTTGTAACACTCAGTGCTGAATATGGTGGTTTAACAGCAAAATGATTGCCGATGCGGCTGCTCTATTGGCTATTTCGGCAACTGTAACATAAAACACAGTGTCAGAATTAAGTTGTAGTTTGTTCAGATATGAGCATTACGTATTCTTTGATAGCCCACTCATATGTTAACTCACTTGAATATTCTGCTTTTAAGGCTTAATGTATTTAATTTTACAGGCATGATTTGCATAACTGTCTTTCAGTAGGATTGAAGGTTAAGATGAATATGGCAAATGCTCTCACATCAGCCTTAATACTTTTTATCTTGCTATAAGGATACCTTCGCTTAGCATTTACTTTGGATTTAAAATAAGGGAGAACAGTTTTGACTTGAAGGAGTGCTTATGGATGTTCCTGTTGATGAACAGAACAATAAGGAATTCTACTGAAGGCTCCTGAAACACTTCTAGCCAGCTGCTTTTTCTGTACCAACGCTTTAGGTAACAGCCTTTTTAGCAAAGCAGTCATGAGTTTATTTTTGAGAAGAGGTATATGCTGTGAGTAATGCTTTCTGGAGGCAGTGTTCCTCATGCAGTGTGTGATAAACAATAAGTCCCAGGTGCTTCTGGACTAGCAGCACGAAAAGGACTGGCTAGACTGGGCAGAGCAACTCATGCTGCATCCTCCTTAGCTCCTGCATTGCAAAGGCCCCACAGCTTCCAGGGATTCCAGCTGTTCCAGGGAACAGCTTCCAGACTGGATTGGTTGTTCTGGTAGGACAGTTAGGAGCTGACAGACCTGCAGTTCTTCTTTCCTGTGACTTCATTCAATGAAAAATGTTATGGGAGTAAGTGGAGAGGCAAGGGAGGGTAGCAAAAGGGAACTGTCAGAACAACTCAGTCCTTATAGTGCAGGTCCTGGGTAGAAGTCTGGGTGGATCGCAATTAGCGATTGGCAGACTGCAATTAACACCTTACTCTGTCCTATTTTCACTGTATAAATAATTAACATGTCATGTATGTTTTACTGTAATTCTAATATTAACCAAACATACTAGAGAACCCAGGAATTCAAATAAACTGGATTTTTAGTGATGAAAATGATAAGAGGAACCCTAAGCAGAACTGCTATAGTGCCACTAGCAGTTATTTCCGTAAAATCAAAGATTCTTTTTTTTTTTTCCCCATGTAAAGCTAAATATATTTTATTCAACTATCTGGACTGGGGTTCTAGTGTTGCAGGGATGAGAAATAATGGACTTGCTTGGGTAGTCAAGACTTTAATCATCTAAGCCCAAACTAAGTTCAATATTTCCTTTGCTGCTCAAAAAAAAAAAAACTTCTAAAGAACAATAAATTATATATTTTTGCTTTTTTGTGTGTGGAAAGCAGCCTGTAGCAAGTTGCCATTTAAGTTAGGACAGAAACTGCAGACAGAAAATGGACTGACTATTGCTAAGCAGCTAAGTTTAGAGGTAGCCTTCCTTTGAAGGAAACTCTTGACTTCTGGATTAAAGAGTGTAGGACCTGGCAGTAATTTTCAGGAAAGGAGAGGAATAGGTCTTTCTCGCAGTCTAATTTATGAATTGTGAGAATATTCTGGATTATGTAGGGACAACTTGTATTTTTTTGTTTTTCACGAACAGCATTAGCACAAATGCACACGTAAATCAAGATGTTCCATGTATGCAGTGTGCTCTTTAAAATAGCTTAGGTGCTCAGGTGTGACACAGCTGCTTTACGTCCCATTTGAATTATAAGCATAGAATCACTGTAAAATGTGCTAATTTAAAAAAAAGAAAATATGTCTTGTTTACTTTAGTAACCTTAAGACAAAGCACCTAGATTCCTCAGAATAAAAGACTTGCAGTATGCTCATGCTAAAGCTTGCAAAAATTGACCATTTTGATATTTTGCTTGCTATAAACTTGAAGGTTTCAGTTTTTAGGAGCAAAGGAGGAAAGCCTGTGAGTCTGCCTGGACAAGTTATTCATGATGAAGACTTGTTTCTGTTAGGCTTGATAGTTTACTGTAGTCCAAATGAAGGTAATTATAAGCAGCACAGAACAAGAGTCTAAAGCTGAAACTGATTTTCAGTGGCCCCTGTTTGCTGATTAGTCCCAGATTATGGTGTGTCTGCCACTTCGGGTATCCAACCTGAGCAGGAAAGCATTCTTATGTAAGAAGCTCCCACTGGAGACTTAGTATGTGCTCATTCTTTTTCTTGGTGTGGATTTGAAAGCCAGTTTACCTTACTGCTAGTTCTGGCATCTGTAAATGTAATGTAGGTTGCACTTAACAGGTGAAAGGTATAACAGCCCAAGATACTCACTCTTCTGAAAGCCTAGAAAAAAGTTTTGAAGTGCCGTTTTTTTTTAAAAGCAATAGGGTCAAGAAACTGTTAAGGTTGCTTAATAAAATTATGGATGAGATGGATGTAGCACTGAATAGAACTTCAAACGTCAATCCGTTTAATGATATACGTAGGACCATAAGGCCAGATTAACCCTCTTTAGAATCCCATTTTCTCAATTATAGCAGTTTTAATGTGTGTTCATCAGTGACATCACCTATTGCCCGTCCTTTTGTGACGCACGTACTGATCCTCATATTAGGTTACTCTCTCTCACACTAGTAACAGTTGAACGTTAAACTTGAGAAATGTTTACCAGTTTCTTTGAATGTGATCGCTTGGTTCGTTGATGTTTCCTACCTCTTGATAGATAAAAATATCCTAATGAAACTTTGAGGGTTTTTTCCTTAGTGTTATTCATTAGTTATCACTATGCACTCTTGTTCTATTAATGGCAAGTGTTTTGACTGGCTGCTTGTTTCCAGAAGAAGCTGTTTCAGGGCTGGTGTACGCTACTATGTAAGAGGTAAAATAACAAATTGATTTATTTTAAAATAATGCAAATTGCATCTATACATGTGACTTACCTTTAAGAGTAATTGCTGTATAATGACTTGAACAAAAAAATGCTTATCGTTTTTCTCAAGAATTCCTTGCTTCAAAGAAAATATTAAGAACCTGTGTGAGGAACTGAATCATGTTCTGGTATTTATTAAAACTGACTTTCCTTTATTCCTCCTGGAGATAACTGCAGAAGTTTTGTAGGGGTATCTAACTCTTTTTACTGTTTTTACTGGCGTTAAATGCAAGTGAGCAATAGCCCTTTTGGCCTAGCAGTAAATTCAACTAAGAGCATCATCAGTGCTGGCAGGGAGGCCTTGAATAGTGGTCTTCTCTAGTTGTTTCAAGTTAAAAAGTGAACAAAGAAATGGATTTGAATTACTTTCTCTGTTCTTAGTCCCAACATGCATGCTTTTGAAAAAACTGGTCTATTTCTGCAGTATCATTGCTATTGAATTGAGAATATTTTAGTGTCAAAGCACTCATGTTATTTTGTATTAAACTGCTCAATTTCTAGGACTAAATAACAAAATGTGTTAAGCACAGCTGTGCTTCTTCAAGTTAAATTTAGTACAGATTATGTTAAACTTGCCAAAGGTGTGTTTGATTTACCATCTTCAGGCAGTTCTGTGGTATTTCCATCTGAAACATGAATGCTTAAAAAGGAAGGGTTTTCCTTAAAAGGAAACCTTTTGCTGATATACTGTCACTGCTCTGCAGCCAGTCTGAGCTGGTTAATGAGGTCTTTCTCCTGCATAGGTATTGATTCAGAAGGACATGCTGCGAACTTTGTTGAAACAGAACAAATTGTGCATTACAAGGGGAGCAAAGCATCATTTGTTCAGGTAAAGTCAATGTGAGGAACTGCTCACTGGCTTAAGGTAGATAAGAAAGCTCTGTCTGTGTTTCTAAAATAGGTTATATATAAAATGTACATGTGCACAAATAAACTAATGTGCTTTATTTTTAAATGAAAAGTGAGTTTGTAAGTTTTTTTGTTGTTTAAAACTACTTCCATTCTTTTGCAGACTCGTGGATCAATTCCTTTCTTTTGGTCTCAAAGACCAAACCTCAAGTATAAACCAAAGCCACAGATCAGCAAGTCAGTAAATCATGTATGTGAGTGTTTTGTTGTGTCCTGGCGTTTTAATATACTTCTGGGCTCATGCTTGTGTGACAGGGTAACAAACTGTAATCAGAAGAAGAAAAATCAGCAATACTGGATTGAGTTTTATGTTTAAAAAGTAGTAGCAAGAAGCCTTGTACTCCTTAAGATGAGTTCAGAGCCTGAAAAAAATCTAGACATCAGTGGAGACAATGTCTGTGGTTCTTGTTTGCAACAGTTTTAGTAGCTGCACAGTACTCATTATCTGTGGCTTGTTTAATAAGGAGAGCGGAATGGACTGGGGGGATGAAAGTAGAAATGTATTAGCACAACAGAGAACATCAAACACTTTTCCTTGTTATAAAACGTACCTATGTGGTATCATCAAAAAGACGATTACAGAGATTTCTTGTAAATCACAGATCATGATAATAGCATACATCTGTCAACACATTTCCTTTCTCTTCTAGATGGATGGCTTCCAAAGACATTTTGACTCGCAAATAATTAGCTATGGAAAGCAAATGATTGTCAACTTGGTATGCTTTCACTTTTTCTTCCTGAAAAAGCTGCTGTTCTTTTAAGCAGGCTTTGAGTAATGCTGACTCTTTTTTTTCTTTTCTACTTTCTCCCAGGTTAACCAAAAAGGTTCAGAGAAGCCTCTTGAGCAAACATTTGCAAAAATGGTAAACAGCATGGCAAATGGAATGGTCAGGTACATGTGAAGTAAGATGATCCATTTTGTGTTAAAATTTGAGCATTGCCTCTGAGACCCACTAAGTGGTCAGTTCTTTGGGGGCTTCTACCAACTGTCTGATTTGTTTGAGTTTTATTTTTATGAAGTAGCTTCGTGTGACCAATGCCCCTACCTCAGAGCTCACATTCTAAGCAGAAGTGAGATTGTGAAAAGAATATGGGACAAAGAGAGGAGACAAACAGAATGAAGAAGGGAGCTCAGAGGCAATGGTAAAGCCAGTGCTGGAGTAATAGCATACTATGAGAATTGTGGAGATCTTCTGCATTTTAGGAAAAAGAAATGATGCCTTGTAGAACTAGCTTTTGGGAAAAGGCCTTGGTTACATTGCTAACTTAGAAAGGGAGTGCTGAGTATGAGTAAAACAGTATTGAGATAAAGGAGGAAACAGTAAGGGGGGTATGTAATCTAAATGTCTGAACCCCAGTGTAACAATGGGCCAAGAGAGTGGAGAATCCACTTTAATCACAAGAGAAATTCCATCTTTGTGGGAATCTTGAGTGCCGCACACAATTTTACAACCTGCCTGTGCTTGCTCTCACTAACTTCTAGAGGGCAGGCTAGCATCCAACTCCCACAGATACTTACCTCTATCTTTTCCTTGAAATTCCTGTATAGTGTTGTCACTCATGTATGTTAAAGGACAAAATCCTACTTGTAAGCAAAAAGGCATCCTGTTTTAATAAGAATTCACTTCTATCTAAGCATAACTAAGAAATTACAGAATATAATCAGATGCCCTTATATAAATCCTCACATACTTTGAATTTTTTCCAATCTTTCTTCTGTTTGTGTGATGAGCTGCTGCTGCTGCCATCACCAGGGTAGTTATAGATGTGTCTCACTTCCGTGTGCTTCTTTTACTACCCTCAGGGGCATGTTTGTGTGTGTTATTGGTGTGTGGGTGTAGATTTTTCTTTTGTTTTTATTAAAAAAGACCACTTCTAAAGTGAGCTCTTTCCTCACTCTCACACCTAGGCTGGTATTGATACCTTAGCTGTACAAAGCTTAGGGAATTCTGCATCTTTATTATCAAGTCATGTGGTGGAAACAAAGATGTAAAATTCTGTCAGGGTATGTTTTAGAGATGCTGCTTGTTCTGTATATGTCAAAAAGCAGTGTTTTTCCACCCCATTTTCTTAATGCTGCCAAACTCCTTCTTCTTTGTTGATCAGTTTTGGTGGCGTTTACCTGCCAGATTAAGACTTGAGTCTTCAGTGTATATATACCATCTTTCTTCATGCAAATAGGCTTCAAAACTCGGCTAATAATAACTTTTGGATTATGAATACTTGAGAGGAGGAATGTAATGCCCTGTAATTCACGGCAAACATGTACATATGTAAATGTGGAATCAAATGCCACTCCTCTAGGCACTCCTTACCAGAAATGAATTGACTGTTAAAGTCTTGTTCCAAGTCAGTAGCTGTTTAATTTTGTCATGACAGAGTAGGCTAGCTGTTTCAACAGAACCCGTCTCAGGTTTCTAGAGGGCTATCAAGAGAATTATGCTGCATGCCAGCAAAGAATGAAAGAGACACAGGTGTTGAAATGCAGCAAAGTGAACTGAGGTTCCCAATGCACTTGCTTGGAAGAGAGGAGGGCAAAGGAATCCTGGTGGAAAAAAAAAAAAGAGATTAAATGAGATGCATATCCCTTTTGTACTTTCTGGAAGAAAAATATTAGCCAGAACATAGAATGAGTAACTTGGAACTGAATGCGTGCCTCTCCAGATTAGCGACATCTTGTAAAGAAAAGTAAATGCTGTCACCACGCGTGCTAAGCGTGCAGCCTCAGGAAGATGACAGAGCGCTGACAAAATCCACCAATACTTGCTCGAAGCCATCTCTAAAGAAAAACAAATCTTCTGTCAGTACCTGTTTGATAGATTAGCCCTTCCCTGTGGAGTTTTCTGAGACCTTTGCTGCAGTACGTATGTAATCTAAAAGGATGCTTCTCTCTCTGAACAGATACATAGCATTTGACTTCCATAAAGAATGCAGTCGGATGAGGTGGGATCGACTTCAAATTTTGATGGATCAACTAGCAGAACAGCAAGATGAGTTTAGGTAAGGCTCTGCAGTACTTCTGTTGTGGTTTTAGGCTGATCCAGCAACTAAAACTCACAGTCTCTCCTTCTCCAGTAAAGTAGAGGAGAGAAAAAAAAAGGGACTGTGGGTTGAGACAAGAACAGAGGGAGCACCCACCAACCATGGTCTCGGGCAAAACAGACAGGGCTTTCTCAAAGCAAAACAGTTTATTAATGGTTACTTAGAAGGACAAAGGGAAACAAAAACCGGTTACTCGAGAGGACAGAAAGAAACAAAACCAGATCTTAAACCTGACACCTCCCCCCCCCCTTCCCCCTTTCCTTTTCCTCCCGGCTCTACCTCCTCCCCCCAGCAGCACAGGGAGCAGGGACTGGGAGAGTGCAGGTCAGTTCATTCCGTGCTGTTACTGCTGCTTCTTTCTTAAAGGAGAAGGAGTCCTTACACCCTTTTCCCCTGCTCCAGTGGATCCCCTACCCACGAGGAAAAATCCACGAACTTCTCCAGCGTGAGTCCAGCCCAGAGGAAGCAATCCTTCCCCACAGATTGCCCCA